TAAACAATAACTAGCGCTAAAATATCTTTTCTTTCCCATTTTGATAGGTACTTATAACATACCCAAAGATCCTGAACTTTATATCTAAAAGTAAAATTTTCGGCCATATATATTATGTTGGAGAATCAATTCTCAACATTTATTACTTTAAAAACCAAATATGGGCAATATAATTATCATATTTATCTTCTCATGACATACTTATTAACATTTTCATGTTTTCACATTTATATTTTCTAGATAATTATTTTACAAAACTAAAATTCATGCATTACCATTCTTAAAATACAATCTTTAGTTTACCAAAATATGTAATTTTAATTATTAAATTCAGTAAATTTTGGATAAATTCAGTGTAAAAAGAAGCTAAATCGCGACATATTTCCAAGTCTATAATATCCCAATAACAATTACTAAGCATAGAAAAGGATTAGTGAGAACATTACGTTCAACAAATTAAGACACTAAATGTAAAAATGGATTGTACGGGTTCTAACTTAAAATACAAAAAATTCAATAAAATAGACAAGAACTAATACAAACACACACACACACACCCTCTTACATTCAATGATTAAGACATTCAGAGTGCAGCTCAAAGGAATCAAGTGGGATTATCCATGTTCTAGATTACAGTGCAAAAAATTTCAATGCTACAAAAATAGACACGCACGCCCACCCACACGCACGCGCATGAACACAAGCACGCCCAACCACACACACGCGCATGAACAGAAGCACGCCCACCCACCCACCCACACACACATACCATGTGCACATGCATGCAAATGTGAGCTTGCGCACACACCACATATTGGAAGAAGATTAAGCTATCATTCACCTACTACCTACCCCCACCCCCCCAAAAAAAAAAAAATTCCGGTATTAGTTGTATTGTTTTAGGGTTTTGTTTGTTTACCCACACATCCTCTTGACCATAGCAAATGTCCCCATGAAAAACAATTGTAAACAAAACCCGTAAAATATGGTTTTTTGAAGAGAGAATATGATGCATGCTCAACTTTCCATTTTATTCGAAATCGTTCATCTGATGCTTTTAGGGGGATCTCCAAAAAACTGGCCCTAAAAGAACACACCCAACACAGAGAACAAGAATGGGAGGGTAGCTTTGCACAATTTAGCTTGTAGGTTAACATAATGATTATATATATATATATATATATATATATATCTGCAAACACTTGAAAATAGATGGTCCAGATAATACAATACAATAATATACTATTTTAGGGCTTGAGATTAATTTGGTTTTTCAAATTAATCAGTGTGAGTGCATGTTTGGGGGAATGTAGAGCAAATCGCACGGTGCATAACGCTTGCCACAAGTGCGAACACCACTGAGCTTTGCGAACGAATAGTGTTTAACACGTTAATATCGAATTTTATGAAGAACCTTTTTTTAGCAAAGCAACTAAATTTTATTGCTTATAAAAAGAAAATACAAGCTAAATGTACAAAAAGGAATAAGGCACACTGTCATTCATCAAAAGGAGCCATTTCAAATAACCCTCCCTAGCTCCTCACTTTGCCATTTCTCCTTCTCTCTCTACCTCCCACTCTTTCTCTCTCTTCCTACTTAATCCCTTCAATTAATGGCAAGGTCAGATCTTTACCATATAAGGAATAGTTGACATTAGGGGGCCCACAGACTTAAACCAGGCAACATTTCAAGGTCAGAAAACTTTACACCTGCTGCTTCCCCTAACACAGGCAACCAAAAGGCAATTAAACATGCAACAATGTCGAAAAACTCAATTATTTCGCCGCACAACGACCATGTGCATACGATCACCCTCGACCATGGGAGCCTTCCCTTTAATCTCCCTTAACAAATCCTTCACACGAGGCTCAGGTCTTGAAGCCCACACGCACTAACCTAATGATTTCAGCTTGCAATCTAGATTTGATCATATTGAAGACAACTGGAGGACACTGGCTCAGTGCAGCAACTAGGAACCTTAAAATATAATCACGTCATATATGCAGTGGTATATAAACAAAAGATCAGCCAAAAGGTCCGGAGGACATGAGAAAAAACCTTGTTTTGGGATGTATCTTGAACAAGAAGGCTTTAAAATGGTCATTGGGTCTGATAAAGATGTATCTTGAACAAGAAGGCTTTAAAATGGTCATTGGGTTTGATAAAGATATATATATATATAGATACACAGACACTATATTATTAAGCTAGAGTTAAGAGGTGGATACATGTTACAAGAATAAAATGGTCCTTATCTCTAGAGAGAACATAGGGTAAGTACCCTAAAAATAGAGAAAAGTTATAATAGTCTGTATGGGGTACTTTTCTATGTTTTAAACCATTAGATCCCGTGTTTTTAGGATAGTCTTATATAGAGACACACCCATATATTTGATGGTGAGGGAGCTTTTTGGGAAGGGAGAGAGGGAAAGAGGTGTGGATAGAGCCTACTTCGTAGGAGACTTTTGAGGAGTTTCTCTCTCAATAGAAAGAAAAATATTTGTGTGGTGACCTAAAGATAGATGCTCCCAAATTGAAAGAGATATGCTATACTAAGTTTCTAAAAACATATTAAAGTGTATAAAAAACCGCTTAATTATGCTTCCATGAGGAAGGACTTTATGCTTTATTCCACAAATAAAATACCATGTAAAAATATTTATTCCAAATATGGTAAATAACATTACCACGCCATGTAAAAATAGTTTACATTGAAATAGTAAATACGTACAAAGCTTTTACCTAACATTTTATAATGTAAAAAAAAAAGGTACGGTTTGTATAAGGTTGCAACCTTCAACAATCAAATTAAAGCGCACCTCCAAATCATATCATAAATTTTTATTTTGGAGTCAAAAATTTATAGGATGGCTTGAGAACCTATTTTCATCTCTAAAAATAAAATCTTCAACTCCAAAAGTGGTTCAAATCAAATAGACCTATAAACATTTGAAAATCTTGAAAATAGATGGTCTAGATAATTTGTTGCAAGATACACTATTTTTAGGACTCAAAATCTTTTTTGTTCTTCTCATATTCATATATCTCGATGTTGAGATGATCATTTAGAGGGCTTTCCAACATCAAAACAACCTTCTATGATGGACTTTTGAGGTGCAACTTAATTCAACATTTTAAGGTTAGAACCTTATATAAACGTTTTCCAAGAAGTTTACAATTGTTTGCATCGTACATTAATTTCCTATTGCGTTGTCCCAATCGCTAGATTTCATGTGTTATATTTTAGGATCTGCAAACACATATTTAAGGCAGATCATGTAGGGTTACAGGTAAGTCTCTATCTAAAGGAGTTCTCAAGAGATATATATCAAAAAATATTTGTGTGGAGAGAGAGCGCCATTTCTAAATATATGATTTTCCTAACAAAGACAGAGAAATTTCTATTATTTAATGTAGTTTTGGCACATGTTGACGAAAGGATCCTTATACGAGGGACCACATGCTTGATTTTGGAAATTAACTTAATGGGTTCTTGGATGTAAGAGCCACCTCCATGAATGATAGATGGCTAAGTCTTGTGCCCAATCCCATTTCCCAGGGATTTCACTAGGAGATAATGGGGTTAATTTATCCATTTTAGAATGAAGATAAGTCAAATCTTTTCCTAATAGCATTATTCTCCTATTTAGATGGCACTTTGAGCTGATGACAAAAATTAACAGGACATGTAGAGAGAGAAACATGGATAGAAGCCTAAGTTCTAGATGAATGTTCATGTGTATTTGTATAATCAAACAGTAGTATTGATTTTTTTTCTTTTGAGTATAGTTTTTTTATTTTCCTTTTTCTTCTTACACGTGCACGTAAATCTACAAGTATATATAATCACAATGTAATTATTCTAATTTCTACCTGAAATATGACCTAGCTTAGATAATTAACAAGGAGAATAACAAAGTAAGCATTCATCATCCTCAATAGGTATTATGATATTTGCCCATGATCCTTAGTATTAGCTAGGTTATATTGAAGATAATAAGTAATTTTGGATAAGTTAAGATAAATATTGCAGACTCAAAATATTGTCTTAACTTCAAAGTAACAAGCAGTGTACAGCTCAGTTATATCCCCACTGTATCCCGTATGGCGTACAAGTACAGGTGTCAGAATGAATTGAAGCTGCCACCTTATTTAGATAAGGGATCTTCACCCATCACAGTATGAAATAATTTATCAAATAACAACGGTTACGAATATTACCACTGACAATAAGTTTATGCTTAATGGTAGTCAGTATAATCTCTAGTATAATTTAACATAATGATTTAATGATAGATAGCCAGCATCCTTGCAGCTAAAAAAATCAGTACTTGCAGCTAAAAAAATCAGTATTTGATAATTTTGTGTTTACCCTTTCTTTCCTACGAAAAACCCACTAAAAATTATCACAATTAATGAGGATAGAACGCAAGATAAGGTGATTGTGAATTGTAACCACAGAAGAAATTGTCCTCTGTTTAGCAAAACCCCATCATAATCCAAGATAAAAGCATCATTTCTCCTTTCAATACTTCCAAAGAGTGAAGAAGATAGGAGAAAATTTATCTATAAATAAACACTTCCCATGTTCCAAAACTCATCCAAGGCAACCAGCTCAAAATGATCAAAACAAATGAACTAAAAATCTTCCCAGCTAAGACCTCCTCGGCAGGCAATAATTTAATAAAATCAACTAAAAATCTTCCCAACTAAGACCTCCTCGACAGGCAATAACTTAATAAAATCAGCCAAATCTATACCGGCAGTAAAGAACCCAACCCCAAATCGGCTATTGTTTTCTATATGGAACTCAACAGAAAATCAAATCCACACGTCTGTTGATTTTGTGAATAGAACTTATTCGCACATATGATTGATTTTGTGAATAAAACTAAGCTCCAATCCAGAATTATTTTCACATATTCAAAAGGAAAAATAATATGGTTTTTCAGCCTTACGAGAACAAGGGGAAGTAAAAAGAAAGAGGGGGAGAGCTCACATAAGTGTTAAGTTGGCGAACGAAACTGGAGAAATTATTGTGCTTGAAGTATTTGGGGAGCAAATCTCTGGCAAATTCAGGAGGGCTCCATACGATGAAACTGTTATTTGATGAACTCCATGACACTATTGAATCTGTTGTTGAATCATCCACCATATCATAAGTCTTTGAGAGGAAAGGTGCAGGGGCATTGGTACCAGGAGCCTGAGCCCCATCCATAATCCCCGCTAAATAAAAACCCTAGAACTCTCTCCCTCTCTCTTTTAACAACAAAGAAACATCCAAGCTGGCAGAATTCACTGAACCGTTCTCCCTCTCTCTTTTAACAACAAAGAAACATTCGAGCCATTCTCATTCTCTGGCATAATTCACTGATCCGTTCGAATCGGAAGCCCATTGATTACACTAAAATTAAAACTCCTTGTCTCTCCCCTCTCCCTAAACTTAAGACCTCATTGTGTCCCTTCTCTCTCTGTGTACGCTGGAATTTGCCATTTCGGCATTTTGAAACGGTCTGAACGCGTGGTGGTTTTTTATTTTTCTTTTTTTTTTCTTTCTTTTTTTTTTTTTTTTTCCTGGAAAGACCCGGTTACCATGGCCAAGCACATAGGTGTACAAATATGGGCTTGTTAATAAAAACAAAGTTTTGAGATGGATTTTTGGACTTAATTTTTAAGTACATGTAATCTTCTCATGCAGATCATGAATATGAAAAAATAAATAATTTTTAAAATTTAAAAATAATAATTCTAGTTTTGTTTTTAGATGACACACCTAAAGATGGATACTTTATCCTTGTTGAACGGCGTATATAGTCATGCCATCGGGTCCATTTTGCATGAAAATTGATCCTTCTACACATTAGGGACCGTACTAGCTAAGTAGACCTTTGTGCACCATAGTCCAGTAGTCCATAATCCCTAAAATCTTTGGAGAATATTCCATAGCCACCAAGTCTAACCTAAATTCATCCTAGAACATGTAGGATTATCCAAAGGATACGGTTAGCACGAGGCCAGCCCGCATATAAGGGTTTGGCAATAAATATAGTTTTTAAAAATAATTTGATCTTAATTTAAAAAAAGTTTATATAAGGTTGCAAGGTTAAAATGTAGAAATAAAGATGCACCTCAAAAATCCATCAAAAAAGGTTGTTTTAGTATTGAAAAACCCTCCGATTGATCATATCAACATCGAGATGTATGAATATGAAAAAAAAAATATTTTGAGTCTTAGAAATAGTGCATATTGCAAATCTAGACCATTCATTTTTAATATTCATATGTTTATAGATCTACTTGATTTTAAATATTTTTTGAGTTTAAAAATTTACAATTAAATATAAAAAAATAGAATTTCATATAATCCTAAGTATTTTTTACACCAAAATTACATGTTATGATAAAATTTGGATGTGCGCCTTAATTGGATTGTTTAAGGTTGCAACCCCGTAGAAACCACACCCTTTATAAAATATATAATCTTTAACATGGAGATCATGAATATGAAAAAATAAATAAATTTTAAAAATTAAAAATAATAATTATATTAAATAAAACATTTTGGACCGTTAGTTACCATTGTAGAAATGCAGTCCAACCCACATGAAAACAAGTGTTGTTATCCATATTCAATCCCAAATTAACTAAACATATCCAAAATAGAGTTCGTAGACCTAAGATAGCCTTGGAATTGTCCTGAATCCTAAACATGATAGAAATGGATCTGAATCTTATTAGATTCATGTGGAACAAATGCAACCCAAAAAGAAATGTATGAACACCTAGACCAAGGAACCTAACTCTCTTTGTAATCTCAAAGCCCTAGAAATCACGGAAGCCATAGAATTCATAGAAACCCTAGATCTAAGAATTCAACACTGCTAGATAATTGTTTAACTATCTAGTTCAAAATCTAAATGAAAAAGTTAATATAAGGTTGTAATCTTAAAATGTAGAATTAAGATGCACAACAAAAATTAATTGAAAAAATGTTGTTTTGATATTGGCAAACCCTCTAATTGATCATCCTGACATCGAGATGTATGAATATTTGAAAAAAAAAAAATGAGTCCCCGAAAATAGTGCATCTTATAACACATTGTCTATACCGTCCATTTTCAAGATTTCCATGTGTTTATAGATCTACTTGATTTGAATTATTTTTAGAGTTTAAAAATTCATAATTAAAGAATAAAATCGATGATAAGGCCATCTTAAGAAATTTTGACACGAAAATTGTTTCTTATGATAACTTTTGGAAGTGCACCTTACTTGGATTGCTTTTCCAAGTAACTATTTTTCCTCTTTTATTTTAGTTAGCTATTTCTTTCCTATTTTAAGTCTAATTTCTAGCTCAATTAGTATGATTTAAGTCTAATTTCTAGCTCGATTAGTATGATTTAGCCTTGAAATTTGTTTTGGTGTATAAAGCACTGTTGGCACTGTCGGCGGTTTTTAGAGAGAACTGATATTTTGAGATCAAATTTATCTCTAATCCATAATCAAGTTTAAAAACTAGATTGGATGGCCAAATCGGTCACCCACCATATCGTAATCGACCCGTTCAGTCAATCGACTCATACCAGTTCGATGAGTTTTGCACCACTGAAATGGAAAAAAAAATTAAAAATGCTAAACAATAAGCTGAGTATATTTATAAAAGAAATGATGAATCATTATATATTTTGATGAAGTAATAGGAAAGGTGTGAATACCGAGAGTTTGGTTGTTTTATGAGTGCTACACAGTCATTTCACAATTTAAAGTACAATTAATCTAAAAATAGAAAAGAAAACATAAGGGTGCGTTTCTGTAAGATTGCAACCTTAAACAATCCAATTAAAGCGCACCTCCAAATTTTATCATAACATGTAATTTTGTTGTAAAAAGTTTTTAGGATTATCTTAAAAACTATTTTTATATCTAATTAGAAAATTTTAAACTCCAAAAATGGTTAAAATCAAGTGGATCTATAAACATATGAAAAACTTGAAAATGGACGGTCTAGATAATGTGTTGCAAGATGCACTATTTTTTGGTATTCAAAAACATTTTTTTTTAATATTCATACATCTCGATGTCGAGATGATCAATTAGAGAGTTTTTCAACATTAAAACATCCTTTCCGATAGATTTTTGAGTTGCATCTGTGATTCTACATTTTAATGTTGCAACCTTATATAAACTTTTCCCAAAAAATAAAACGTAAATTATAAATTTATAAGAAAAATATTAACAGAATATCCATAAAAGAACTCAATTTTTCTCAAAATTAATCAAAGAAACCCCATATAGAGACATATAAAATAAAATAAATATAGTTGCTATTTAAAAATTAACAATACTCTACCTAAGAGAGACTAGAAAACCAAAAACAATTATATTTATAGAAAATTAGCATATTCTCAAAACTTATTAGGGAAATCCCAAATAGAGACAAATTTTTTTAAATGAATACAAATATAAAACTATCTAAAACTACCCAATTCAACCTAGAACAAAACAAGTTTCTAAATTTTTAATTTACAAAAAATCTTCTAATTTTTTTTATTCTAAAAATAAATAAATGCAAACATTATTGAAGATTATCTAAACCCTACTTATGTCAACCAATAACCAAAAAAATAAAAATAACATAATAAATATCACAAATCTCAAGTTTTCTTGAAATTATTATGAAAATCCGAAACCTAAAACCTACCTAAGGCTATAGGGGTATTGTGGCCTTTAAAATCCTTGAGAATCTGTAAATAAGGATTCTAATGGACTAGACAAAATAATGCGAGTGTGCATGTTAGTTGACTGACCTAGTGTTAGGCTATATACAGTATTAGTCATATACAAACTCTTACCCTGTGAGCATATGACACTACAAAAAAGGCTTTAAAAAAATCATCCCTTATTGAGGTCGAAGAGATGCTTATGGGTAGTGTGTAGGTGAGAAGAGGTTAATGGTTTCCTGTGTGTGGATGTATACATGTAAGAGCAATAGCTAAAATATCAATAAACTTCTAAATGACTTGTACACATGGCAGTTACATTACAAGGAAGCCACCTATAGAAGATTTATGTGTGCATATGCATAGAGGTAGTCCCTCTTGCACTATAGTGATGTTTGCATGTTATTTGCACTTAAGAGAAACATGTAATCGACATTATATGAATGTGGTTCTACAATTTATTATCCAACTTGGACTAGCCAATTATGAGCATTTGCATGAAACTATAGTTAATGGGTCTCGTTTGGGTGGTTTGAGAAGATAGTCAAGGATCACAATTATTATGTCAATTGGATTATCCTAGCAGTCAGTTATTTTGGTCTATTAGTACCAATTCACTTCTAGATATTATGTTTTTAAGTGAAATGAATGTTTTATGAATTTTAGAAATTTTTTAATTTAATTTTAGCAATAAAGAACCTAGAGATGGCGTTTCAGAATTCTAGAACTGTAGAGGGGCGGAGTGAAACACGTGGGGGCCTTTGAATCCAGCATGCATGTATACCACGCCCACATGTGTAGGGCATGCAGCCCATGGGGCCCAATCCTCACTCGTCCTCTCTTCTTTATTTATTAATTTTGATAAGTGTTTTACTTTATTAGTAAAAAACTATTGGAAAAATTATAGATACCCTCAAAATCAACTTTGCAAATCCTACCACTAATACTTTTTGTACCATACGCTAGACCCCAACATTGTTTTTTCTTATATTTACCCCCAGTCAAAAAATTTAAGACTAAAATGCCCTTTTCTTTTCCTTTCCCCTATGTTTTTGGAGTCACATGTTGTTATGGCAAAACTTTCTTTCTCTCTTTCTCTCTACTTGCCCTCTCTCTTTCTCCCTCTCTCTAACCACCATCACTCTCTCCACTCGCCCTCTCTCCCTCTCTCCCTCTCTCTACTTGCGTTCTCTCTCTCTGCCCACCCTCTCTCCCTCTCTCTACTTGCGTTCTCTCTCTCTGCCCACCCTCTCTCCCTTTTTCTCTATTTCTAGACTCTGAAATATTTAACCGGTCTGGTACAATGAGTGCCAAACCACATTATATAGGCTTAATCTTCTAGAATACTCACCGGTCCGACACCTAATGTGCTAGACCGCATTACTTGTGGAACATTAACCAATCCAGCATACTGGGTGTCGGACCGAAATGTTTTTGTGGCCCAACACCAAAACTTTTTAGGTCTGGTACATAATTGTGCCAGACCGCTTGGCTTAACATAGGCAGCTTCCATTACAAACAAATGGTAACACTTTGGATGAAGAATCACCAGCCTGTTAAACATAGATTCATTTAACTTACAAATGGTAGCGATTTCATTTTTCATTCTATTTATCAAAGATGTATTTCACAATTTTAATCATCAAATAACTAAAATTCAAAGAATATAGCTGCCTTTGTATAATAATGACAACAAAGTTAAAACCAAGTGTAGCACTTTCAAGAATGCCAATTTATGTAGCAGATTCAATCTTGTTTCAGTCGAAAGAAGCATGACGAACAATTTGCATAAAAATGTATCAATGGCATA